ACACACACACACACACACACACACACACAGATAGCCTCTTCCCAATATGCGTTTTTGCAATTTACACATATGCAAAAACGCAAAAAAACGCATATTGTGACGACCCCGGCGTGCATGTGTGTGTGTGTGTGTGTGTGTGTGTGTATGTTTGTCTGTGTGCACAAGTGTGTGTGCGTCAGCCCGAGTATTTCAACTGCGCAAGCAAGCAAGCTGCAGCGCTGAAATTTTGCCAATGAATTCCCCGACTAAGTGCCACTCCAGGACTGCGGGGTCAACCCTCACGCACATCTAGGCCTCGCATACGACTGTGTAAAGTTTTGGGGGGGAAGTAGCTAACTCGGGAACCAGAAAGGCTATAAAGCTAAAATTTTGTGGGGATGTTCTCCGTCTGTGTGGGACTCTTGAACTCAGTGTACTGCTATGTGTGTTTCTTGCGTACAGGCCCGTCAAAATTCTTAGCCGGAAGATTGTTACTTTCGAACGCCGAAAAACTAAGCTAAAATTTTAACGAAATATTTCCTATTCAAGCAGTCGCACAATTAACTTCCTGAAATGCGAGGGCCCGTATGTTACAAATTCCAGCTACTGGATTTCTAGCGATCTTACTAAAGCACAGAATACTGCAGAAATGCATGATCGCACGTCATTGATTTGAATCCTGCTGGATGATGAACAGCAAACATCCATCGGAAAATATTGTTTCCTGCCCATTCTGGTTTCGAGTTAGCTGGAAAGCTGGACCACCTAACTTAGTCTGATGCTGGGTGGAGAGTTGGGCCACTTAACTTAGTCTAGTTCTGGATCTGGTACTTTGTCAACAGTGCCTGAATTTCTGTTCTGATGTTTCTGTGAGCGTGGTCTAGAAGATTGCTGAATTTGAATGTTGTTTTCATATATGAAGTGAACAAATCCACGTGAAGTTTCAGCTTTCTCTCTTCTCCACTCCGCGAAATTGTTTTCCTGCCAAAAAATTTGTGTGTTTTCTTTTCCGTGTTCGCAAGTAAGACACAATCGTATGTAAAAGACAATTTTAGGGCCGGAGAGTCGCACATAAGGCAGGGGAATGCTCTAATATTTTCAGATTCTCGGCTTCTCTGGTCGAGAAAAATGCGGTCAGACAAACACACATACACACACACGCACGCACCGACAATTCCCTGCCATCATGAGTTTCCGCATTTGCACAAATATGCAAAAACGTATAAGAACTGTTAAATTAGTTCTAAACCGGGAAAACGGCTAACAAGGAAGAAATCCGGTGCCTCATTGTCAATAGAAAGCAAATATACTCACCATACCACTTTAATTTCATGCACAAAAAATGTGGGAATACAGATGACTGAAACAATAATCGTGATGATTCCTGTTATTCGCCTAAAAGTAGGTGTGTTAATACAACCGAGTTTGTTAACAAAAAACATTGAGAAACTAACTACGGCTCCTTACCACACATACGGTGATTTAATGAGCAAAGATAAGCTGCGAAAGAGTTATTTCTTTTGGTAGCTTAATCAAAAATTATTAAATAAGCTGCAGAATAAAATTTTTGTAGCTTGTGTTGAAAAACGCTTTCAGCTGTACCAACACAGAAAACTGAAGCTGCCCAAAACTTCTTTGCAAACTTATAACCTCAAATCTTAAGAGAGAAACAAACAGAAGCAATCAACTTTCTAACGAAGAAGAAAAATGAAACACATTGAAATCATTCATAGAGATCATGCAAACTTTGAAGTCTTTCTTTGAAACCACAAAATAGAGTAGTTAAAATTAAATTCAAAATAGAACAACCAAGATTTTAAAATCAAGTTCGAAATAGAATTAAAAATGAATTCTCTTTTGCTCAATTAAAATAAAATTCTCCTTTACTATTTTAACAAATTCGCTTTTTTAACCCATTAAAGAATTTAATATTCTTTTACACAACTGGAATGACTGAGATGCTCTCATCTAGGAAGCCGCAAAGTTGGTGACTCCGACAAAAAAACGGTATGAACATTAATAGGGCTACTGGTAGAGTTACCAGCTGCGTAGTTGAAGAACGGGGCTATGAAACACTTTTTTCCAAGTACGGAAAGTGAATGTTCTGGTTCAGTGTAGTAAATGTTGGGTGGTAGGAACGAATTCTGTATTACGTTCTTTTAAAAATTTATTATTTCAATTTTCCTTTTCAAAAAACTTGGTCTGCTTTTCCCTTAGCTTATTTACTGCACCGAATTTTACGTGATGCTTTAGTAAAAAGCCTTTTATTTTTTATTTCAGAAAAATCAGGCCTTTTGAACGGGCTAGGCTTTTTTTACTGGTATTCAAGAAAGCATTTATGGAAATGCTACATCACTGCTGGCAGTAAGCTAGAGTCGTATAAAATCTGGCCATAAATTTAACATACTTTCGACTTACACAAATTCCTTTTTGAATGCATTTCTCACTAATGAATCGGGTGCAACATGCATACCAGGATGTGTTTGGCTGCAACCAAGTGCTCCTCGATTTGGCCAGGGCGCTCCATCGAATTATAGCTAATGTTACGCAACAATACAGCGTGATACCATGCAGCGCAATTGTTGCAACGGCGTGCATCTTGAGCATCGCCACCCAGTTGTAGCTGAAACCTGATGGTCCTCAACAGACTTACTTTCATATATTGCGAGCACTCATGGTTCTAACTCCTCAATAAAATAAAAGTATTTCGACCTGAAAAGATTCCAGATACTCTGCGTTTTTGGCCTAAAAGCAAAAAACTCTTTTTTGCACTGTCTTTCCCACTAACGTGATTGCAAAAACGTATATTGATGAGATCCTGATTGTTTACGGACGAGTAGTTACTCAGTTAACTTCTAAAAACCGCCGTATGCACAGCAGTTGCTGCTGGCTACGCTTTGGTACAGCGCAACAATTTTTGAGCGCAGTGTGTTTTGGATCCAAAAAACGGATGTTAACAACAGGCTGTTAATAAGATTTGATAGAGAAGGAAGCGACTGTCAAGGAAAACTTGGGAAACAGAGCAGCAAAGTAAGGGGAGTGAGCGGGAAATAGAGATGAGTAGGTTAACGGGATCAGAAAATTCATGCTCATTCTGGTCCTAGGTGAGTATTTTTAGTATTCAAGGCCTTGGACCTCTGATAAACACAGCGAAATACATAATTATATTTTAGCCAGTTGGTGTCGTAACACTTCTGCCCCAGTGATGCGCCCTTTTCACATTTCCAGTGATCGAAATTTCAAATCACCTTGAGTTCAGCCTTTTAGTAATCGTGGGATTCTTTTCCAGGCTTTTCTTTCGAATTCTTCAAAACCGGATGCTGATGTTTCCATACACATCCCTTTTGTGCCATTCTTTGCTTCGCATCAGCCAGTTTTGCAGCTAAATTTGTTAGCTCTACGACAGAATCCTATGTTAATCTTAGATGCTTAGTGTCGCTGCACAGTGCATATTGTGATGAGCAGTGTATGCGTCTTTTCAGTGAAGTTTTGTTAATTTTATTCAAGAGATGGCTGTATAGTAATGCAACGATAATTGTTTTTTTCCGGAGCCAAACAGCTGCAAGCATTAGTAGGCATGTAATTAATCTAGTTAGCAAGACCGCTGATGTCCTCAGCCTCGGGAATATAGATCTGCTACAAAGCTTCA